GCACTCCCCCCATCATTCATATGGTAAGATTTTTTGTTCTGATGATGCCTTCGACACCTCGTGGATGCATAGGCTTTAGGAACTAGAGGAAAGTTGTATTTCTCATCATTGTTACATCGCACCCTGACTGGCTCGTCTCCTCCCCGAGACCCCTCTGCAGGGGGATCCCCAGTGGCCTACTAATGCCGCCCCTGCCCTTTTTAGGGCACTGCTTCTCTGTAAGCCCTTGGATATCTGTGTGACCTCGTGCTGGTCGCCTCCTTCGTCTGGATGATGTGTCTGTCCTCCGGAAGACTTAAATCTCTGAGATTTGGGATCTTTTGTCCACTACAACACAGTCCTGCAATGCATAGTATTCCCCACAGGGTGGCAGAAAATCATCTGAAATGGTAAACCGCTGTGTGCTCTTGCAATCTTGTTTTCTTCATTTCAGCAACGTTTTTGACTTAAAATCCTTAACCCCTGTGTGGTTTTAGGTCAGCTATTCCACTAGTTGTGTTTTATCCTCCTTTCAGGAATTATCCATCCTTACTGGTGAAACTAAAACCTACTCCACCCAAACTCGCTGCCATCGAATCAATTCTGACTCATTGTGACTTTACAGGACAGTAGACCTGCCCCTGTAGGTTTACAAGCCTGTAACTCTTTCCAGGAGTAGAAAGTCAAATCTTTCTCTTAAGGAGCAGTTTTGAACTGCTAACCTTGTGGTTACCAGCTCAACTGGTAAATATTATAGCACCAGGGCTCCTACCTAAAAATTACAAATGAGCCCAAAAATATCATCAGTACTTGTGTATTTGCATATATTCTTTTAGACTTTTATACCTGTAACTATACATATTTGATATATGTGTATAAATCTGATGCATGTGTGTATGTATCTACTTATAAAAGTGAGATAATGCACTTAACAGTTTATAATTTATTAATTCATTGTAACTCATAATTATTCATAATATAATCATATAATTAATAATAATATAATTTATTAATTCATTAAAAGTATACCAAAGAATCCTTATCAGGTCAATGAAATAT